GAAAAAAAGTAAAGTTACAGTTTATGCGTTCTTTCTGCGCCCACCTTACATTTTTGTGAGGATTTTAGACCAAGAATATGTACGCCCAAACCCCAATGCGTGTTACCAGAAATTACATTTTTTTAAACGTTACCTGCACACTAGAATTTTCCCCTGTATCGTAGAGACAATTTACATACATAAACTTTACAAGGACAAACATCCAGAACCGGAAGTATTTGTAGGCAATACAAATACTTGTTCCGTGATGGATTCTTGAAAATATTTCTTGTTAATTCCCCAGAAATGCGGGCTTCCTCACAATGCTTTACTACCAATAACGTGGTAAATCAGCGCTAAAAATTTTAATTGACACTTATTGGTGCTGTTGGGTATCGGATCCGGGTTGCTGAGCTAACACGGCTCTACATCCCATTTAAAATGAGAACGGTGTCCCATTCGAGGTCAAACTTGCGCCTTATAAAGTTGCAAGCGGTCTGCTGGCAATGACGCTTAATAAGCTTAGTTGAACTTGTCAAGCTTTTTAAAGGCCAATGTAGACTTTCCTTCTCGGACTGTACACTGAACTTGGCAGAACAGAATGTACTAGATATGTCGACGTTGAGAATTCCAATACTGGCCGAGCAAAAAGGGTAGTAACATGAAAAGGAGGTTATACGACAAAGTGATTATTAATGCGGTAGTAATATGCAAACTTGTGTCTTCTGAGAGTTAAACTATACTAAATTTAGTCACCCCAAAGCCGTAACTTGTTTAATAATGACCTAACTTGAGGCATGAGCTTGTTGCAGCACTTGACGACGTGTCTCCGAGAAATATTAGCATAGCCGTTGTATAAAGCAGAATGCAACGTAATATTATTAGTATTATACAGAAGAAACATTTTTTTATAGGATAGGGTGACAAACGAGCACACAGTCCATCTGCAGGTAAGTGGTTACTGTGGCCCATACATCTACATATATCCTCGTTTGGAATAAAAATGCAGATGCGGTGACACCCGTGAGGACTAAGATAGAAAGCCTCTTTTCGAGTAAAAAAGATCTTCAGTTCGTTACACTCACCATACGAAAGAAAGCAGTGTTAAGCTTCTATTTTATGCTGATATTTTGCAAGAGCGTGGTCATTCCCCGGTCGAGCCGACCCATTCGTACTACAACTATACTACTAATATAGCTGCAGCATGGCTCTACCACGTGTAAAGCATGTAGGTAATAGCACACAGCCTTTGGGACACTAAAGGCTTGGAGCTGCACATGGCTTGAGCATGCACCGTCGACTACAACCTTAGTGCTCCGATCTGTGAAAAACTTGTGACCCCAATTGCATAATTTCTCGAGAAGCCCATAACAGCAAAGCTTAGAAAGAAGCGCTTTGATCCAAACCCAAAAGCAGAAGCCTTGGCTAGGCCTAGGCCTTTGCTTTCGCTAGGGCCAAACTAACTGCCACCAAGATTCGACTGCTTCCACCCAAAAAGTCAGATAAACTAGAAGATCATGAGCTGAGCTTAAGCTTCTTTGGGTACCTCATGAACAGGCAGTTTATAAAGGACTATTATTTTAGAGAACACGGAGGTGATAACAAAAGGCATGTAGTTGGATGTGTCAGAGCAGCATTATTATGTGCACAAAAGCTATAACATAACAAAATTTTGAGACTCTCTTCGTGTACATCTTGAACAAATTGACCGAATCAGGTCACATATAATTAGTATATATATATATATATATATATATATATATATATTTAAATCTCTTTGTATATAATATAAACTAATAAAAATAAAATAAAAAGCCTTATATTTTTTGAATAACCAAAAAAGTGACACAGAAAAAATGTTTAGCTTTACAGTATGACTTATAATTTAAAGTTAGATAATTGTTCACGCCCTTAGCTGCCCCGACAAAGATCGACCGTACCAGGGCCCATGAGTGGTAGTCGCGACAGGCAACCAAGGGAGGGGCCCACTGTCCTATGGATAAATGTTCTAAAACGGCTGACAAATAAGCAAGCACAACAAAACTTACCGATTTCCGGAGGTAGGGTTGACCACAGGGTACCAGTCAGATGATAAGTAAGGTGCATGTAAGTAGTGTGTAGTAGTGTGTACCTGACTTAACCGAGGAAGTCGGACCGCAGATCCCCAGGCGCTGCTACTCTCCAAATGTGAGATCCCTCCAGGGAGGCGTTCACCAATTGAAAACTTCTGCTTTTACTTCACTGTATGAGTTTATCAACTCCATTGTACATTTAATTAACTTCAAAGTCAACCAACTCAACGTTCATCGAAATCAAAACAAGTGACACACGACACAAGTAATGAACAGTCATTCAAAGTTCAATATTCAAGTTCCGGGCTCACTCAGCACAAAATTACCAACACGGGGACGAACGCGGTCTCTTCTCGAGTCACAAAGTTCAGCGCTCCACACAACAAGGCAAAATTCCTACACACGACACTAAAATGCCACAAAGCAACTCTTCGAATCAAATAAATGTCAATCAAAGTTAAGTTAATAATTCATACTCAATACAAGCCTCTTGTCTCGATACGTACAAATTAGACAAACCAATTCGAGACCCAAATATTCAATAGTCAATTAGACGCGCACAATTTACTCTAGATTCAACACGAAGCGATCTCCTCTTGAGTCACACATTCTTAGCGTTTCAAAACTCAAAAGGGCCTCTTGTCACTTAAGGCACGAAAGACAATCAATGAGAGGCGTTTGTCACGCGGCCGGCCGCTTCGCACCTAACCGTCATACTGAAAAAGGGTGCGGTTGCCCGATGCGACGCGCGCGCGCTACAGTCCCAGGCGGTGACCTCTAAATTCCATCGGAAGACATGCAGCGCGCGCATCTTGATGCAAGTTTTTAAAATATTACGATTTTGGCCTAAACAATAACTTACTCGTAAAATGCTTCATTCTAGTGTAATTACAGTATAAACTGAATATTTCGTAATTGGTTAAATGATTTAAATTCAAATCTGCAAGAACTCTGCAGGTGAGGGCCTCCTTCAAAGAAATCCATTTTCCCTATCTTGGGCTACCTGACTCCAGTGAAGGCCAGCAATCTTAATCACGTCATCTACCCATCTCGTATGGGTCTTCCTTTGTGACGTTTTTCTTTTTGGGCCCTCCCATAATGTAACCATTTTAGTGCATATTTCTTCTTGGAGTCACGCTACATGTCCTGCCCTCTGCCACTTTAGTTTTAGGGCATAACATAGAGCGCCAGTGGCTTTTGTCTTCTTAATTCTAACACTACTATTATTACTATTTGGTTTAGTGCAAAAAAAGGTAATCGCGGAATCTGGACCCGATTGTAGGCGATGTGGTAGATTTATCTCTGTACACTCATATAAATATAAAACATATTTACTCTGTTTAGGCAAAATATTAACCATTTGAAAATTGAATTCTTAACGCACGTTCGAAGCGCACAGCACCGTAGCAAGGTCAAACCACCCCCCGCCCGCTCGCATTCCATTCGGGCGGTGTCGAACGGGACACGTCGAGAGATTCATTGTAAAAATCTGCTGATCGTAACGGACGTTTGTTTTTTTTGCTGTAAGTCGACTCAAGCTATCGTACCTCGGATAGTGTCGTTTTTGTTAGCAAATTCGTGCAACGACGAGGAACTGTCTAGTAATAGCCTAGGATATTTAGTAATTGTAATTTAGTAGTTATATATAGTAATTGTAAATTAGTAATAACCTAGTAATTGCACCGTTTAGTTAAGTGCCTCAAGGGGTCGCGTTCGGTGTTCGAAGTAATTTGCCGTGGAGCAAACGGAGGTGAACTTTGTACCACTGTCGTCGCTCGCACCACGTGTTGGGTCTTTGACTGTGATTAACGGAATTTAGTTTTCTCTTTGAAGTTAGTTAATGTACAATAATGTGTATAGACTGACCTAGTGCCTTGAAGAAAGAAATTGCCACCGGGGACGCCGCAGGAGAATACCACATCCGAGGCAGCATCGTGCCATCTGGTTCAGGCCACCTAAACACACACACTCACAAACACCACTTACATGCACTACACCTTCAGCCTGACAGATCCTGGTGACCAGTCTCCACTTCTGAAGCAGGTACGTACTATTAGTTATCTAGGATTATCTATTGTGTAGGTCATTTTACCATAAGGCATCGGCCCCACACTTGGTCGTCCGTCGGATCTCCCGCTTATGGGCCCCGAGAGAGTCGACCTTGGCTTGGACGGCTAGGTGCGTGTACATACACTGTAAAAAGTATACGTAGTAGAGCGACGCTGCAGCTATATTATGATTGTAGCACGAATGGGTCGGCTTAACCGGGGAAGGACCACGCTCACACAGAATACTAGCGCAAAATATCAGCTTTATGTTGCTGTGCTATGTAAAGTGAGTGTAGGGAACCGGAGACGCTTTTTACCAGAAAGGAGGCATTCCATCTCAGTCCTCACGGATGACAACGCATCTGTATTTTGATTCTTAATTGAGAATGAAAAAATGTGGTTGTCTGTAGGCCAGAGCATTAAATTACCATCAGATAGCCTGTGTGCTCGTTTGTCACCCTTATTCTGTAAAAAAAAAACTTACGCAATGAATTCTCTAGAGAAACTGAGAGAAACTCAGGGAACGCAAAATTGCGCCACCTCTCGGAAAGGGCAGATCAACCTTCGCCAAGCCATCTAGTTATTTAATAAAACAACAATCATTTATCTTTCTGACAATGTGCTATATATATATATTTCTATGTTCAATATGAATGTTAGATACGATTTTATGCGACAAAACGTTCGAATCGTGATTTTTAGGCGCTAGTAGAACATACCTACGCGCTTTGCGCTTAAGGCATGCAATATTTGTGCTTCTATATTTTATTGGACCTCTTTTTGATAATGAATAGATAATAACATTTGATGTAATGAATACAAAAAAAAACTGTCAGTGTCAAGAGATGCAAAGAAAGAGAATATTAATATAATCCCCAATAATCACTACGTTTGGAATAAAATGAACGACTTACTGCAGAAGCATGGCTGCTTTAACGTGTTCACAGTACCAGAAGGTCTTAAGGAGCTCATGTCCGACATAACTCGAGAAGTGAGTAATTCATATGCAACAGGCATAGTTTTTAACAAGTCCTTTTTTAATCGTAGCTCTCGAAATCGTTTGTTAGCATGGTTGAAATGCATGCTGTCTCAACTCAGTTCAAGAATATTAAAAAGTTAACAAAGTGTTTTTCTACGTGGTAGAGTCAAACTGTAGCAAGGTATATTATGGTCATAGTACGAATGGGCTAGCTCGACCGGGTAGGACCCGCTCTCACTGGTTACCGGCGTGAAATACGCAAAGTAGCAGCTTAATGATGTTGTTTTGTATGGTGAGCGTAGAGAACCAGGGATACATTTTACTAGAAACGAGGCATTCCATTTTACTCCTCGCGGGTGACAAGGGGTCTGCATTTTGATTCTAATAAAGTATAAATATAGGTATCTATGGGCCACAGCATCCACTTAGACTGTATGCTCGTTTGTCTCCTTATTCTATAAAAATGTACAGCGAAATAATGACTCTTCTACGCAAGTATGAAAAATTGATAGACTATCGCAGCTAAACAAAGAACCTGACTGGAGTGATCTAACTGATATAATATACATATATATCTTTCTGCTTTTTCTTTACCCGCCCGTAAAAGTCCACTTTAGGGCCTGTGGCTCTCTCGTTGAAGGAAGAAGAAGAAGTTTACGCGAATACTACACATTGAGTAAATTTTATTATAAGGATTTTATTGTGTTTAATTTTGACATATTTATTTCCCAAAGTTTCGGACGCTTTATAGCACCCATGGTCATGGTCGCGGATAGTAAAGCAGAGAGTAAATAAGTCCGTAAAATTAGTTTTATTAAAGAATTTGCCTTGCTGATGATGATGATGATGATACTAAGTGCACATATCAAACACTGCTTTACTAACGCCTATATTCGAGAAAAGTTTGGTTCTCCATAACGTTTGGTTTTTTTACATACAAGGTGCATGTAAAAATAATTTATATTGCAATGTATTCATTCAGACTTAAGACTTGAAATTTAAAAAAAAATGTTTAAACGTTTCATAAATAACTGAACTCGTATTTGTTTAAAATGAGGGGGTTTCATGCACTTCATTTGGTGAGTAACGACTCTTAAAAGGAAACGAATCGTTTTTAAATATAGAAACTCGGTATAAGCCTCGTAATTTAACAGGTCCTTCGAGAGCAACCAAAGAACATATGCGATTTCATCTACAACTATCTGTCTGCCCTACTCATCACCCGCGAGCATGGCGTGATGGCTGTGAGGATACTGGAAGACCTGTGCGACTGCAGGCCTTCTGTTTCTGAACACCTGATCCAACTGGGCCTGGAGAAAGATATCGCTAACTCACTGGCACAAGTCATAAAAGATGAGATTGAGACCTTCGAGCGAAAAAAAGACAAAGGTGATTCAACCATCCACACTTAAAGCATGTAATGACTGCCTTCTCATAATTTCTGAACTTTCGGTTTTTTACGTGGTAGAGCCATGCTGCAGCTATATTAATAGTATAGTTGTAGCACGCATGGGTCGGCTCGACCGGAGAAGGACCACGCTATCGCAGAATACCAGCGTAAAATAGCAGCTTAACGCTGCTGTGTTTCGTATGGTGACTGTAGAGAACCGGAGACCCTTTTTACTGGAAACGAGGCATTCCATCTTAGTCCTCACGGGTGACAACGCATCTGCATTTTAATTCGCAAACGAAGACAGATGTAGATGTCTATGGGCCACAGCAACCACATACCATCAGGTGGACTGTGTGCTCGTTTCTCACCATTATTCTATAAAAAAAAAACATTCCTTTACACAATTGTAAAAAAAAACATTCCTTTACACAATTGTAAAAAAAAACATTGTGGTATGATTCTTTTTTTTTTGTTTAATAGTTACCACTAGGATTTCTCCTGTATTGTTGAGGCAATTTAAATACATAAGTTGAACAAGGAAAAACATCCAGATCCGAAAAAATTACTTGTAGGCCAAATACTTGTTCCGTGCGGGATTTAAACCCGCGGCCCTCCGTAACCCATTGCTAAGCTCTGCACCACAGAGCCATCTAATATAAAAAATACGGGAATGTTATTACTAAAAATAAATATTTTCGGGAATATGCCCTTAGCAGTGCGGCAGACTCTTGTCTTAAATGTCTTTACGTAGTAGAGCCATGCTGCAGCTATATTAGTAGTATAGTTGTAGCACGAATGGGTTGGCTCGACCGGGGACGGGACCACACTCTCACAGAATACCAGCGTAAAATAACAGCTGAACGCTGATGTGTTTCGTATGGTGAGTGTAGAGAACCGGAGACTCATTTTACTGGAAAAGAGGCATTCCATCTTAGTCCTCACGTCTGACAACGCATCTGCATTTTGATTAGCAAACGGAGATAAATGTGGATGTCTATGGGCCACAGCAACCACTTACCATCAGCAGGGCTCGCATGGGCAGGAGACAATTTTATCCCCGGGGAAAGGAGAATATGTTTATCCCCTCGCTTAGCTTTATTCACCCTTAGAGCATGGGCACACCGGTGGATATAATATCCACAGTAGATAAATTGGGAGATAGATTTAGACTTAGATGGATTTTTGTATGAATATAAACTTCAACCCACGTCCAATGAACTAGGATAAAATTGTCCCTTTCAAATGTCAAAAAAGCATAATTTTTTATCTTTCATTTGGCTCCATGCTACGGACGGGGGATATATGTCTACTCGTTATGTTAAACGGGGATATACTTCTCCCCGTTTGACATAACAAGATAATTTTATCTCTTGTCGGTGGATATATCGGGGGATAAAATTTTTGTCTCCCGCCCATGCTAGCCGGGCAGGTGGACTGTGTGCTCGTTTGTCACAATAATAAATTAAATAGTACGAAATGGACACGCTTGCACAAAATATGAACGAAAGAACGAGATATATTGTCAGCATAGTAATGGTTGTATATATTTTTACATTTTTGTTTATAATAGGTCTTTACCTATGAAATGGCCGTTCTGCGGTACTGGCCAATTTTTGTTTGGCTAAGAATTCTAATTTCAAATTAGTTTTTATTTTAATAACATGGAATTCGTATTTCAAAGTTAGGTATTTGTTTATTGATTAGTGTAACGGTACGTACACATTATATAACATGTTATGTTATATAATGTGTACGCACCGCTACACAAAAAACTTTGTGTTATATAACAATAAGGCGTTGTTATATAACATGTTTCAGTAAGGTGGTGGCCGAATGTTATAAAACATGTCATATAACGTGACACAAATGTTATATAACTCGAAGTGCACAACGACACACGACAATGTCAACGACAATATCATATAACATTGTTATATTGTTATTCTAATGTGTACAGTATTGTTATATGTTGCAATGTTGAAAAACAATGTTACATAATTTGGAAGTGTTATAAAACAAAAGTAACACAGCATGTTACTTAATCTGTACGCACCCTTAGGTATGTTTTCATCGCATTTGAATCTTTTTCGTCATCATGCATACGATAAAATTATGGAATATGAGTACCGTCGTGGCAGCAACGCGGCACAAGCGGCACGCAACATCTACGACGTTTACGGAGCGAATACTACAAATGAACACACCACCTGTTATTGGTTTGCACGCTTCCGTTCTGGAAATTTTGAACTGAAAAATTAACCCTGTAGAAAATGAACCGAAGTGGAAAACTTTGGTCACCAATGACGAATTAAAGGCGACTGTAGAAGCTGATGATACTCAATCTACGGCTGAATTAGCAGCAGCTGTCGCCGTTAGCATCAAAACATTTCCTTTTGCGTTTTTGGTCCATTTGCGTCAAATTGGTAAAGTAAAAAAGCTTGAAAAATGGGTGCCCCACGAACTTAATGATTGCCAGCGCGTGAGTGTGCGCGTGCGTGAGTGAGTGGCACTACTCAACAGGCACACAACGAAGGAATTTTGGACTGCATTGTTACCTGCGAAGAAAAATGGATTCTGTTTAACAATTGCAAGCGCTCAGCAAGATGGTTGGATCCTGGTTCAGCACCTATCAATGCCTTAAACGGAAACATACCCCTACAAAAGTAATGATCACTGTTTGGTGTTCTAGCACCGGTGTGATCCATCACAGCTTCTTACCAAACAGGGTGAGCATTACTGTTAAGTACTGTGAAGAACTGAACACGATGATAGAGAAATTCGCACGTCTCCTACCAGTTTTGATCAATCGCTCGTCCCCACTGGTCCTGCACGACAACGCGCGACCTCATACAGCTCATACTGCACAACACACAGTCTCCAAGTTACAAGAGCTGGGGTTGGAAGCTCTTCGTCATCTGCCGTACTCACAAGATCTAACGCCTACAGATTTTTACTTTTTCCAGAATTTGGATAACTTTTTGACTGAAAAAAATATATACCCGAGAGGCAGTACAAAATGCCTTTGAAGAATTTGTTGCCTCCCGTCCATCTGATTTCTTCGAGAAGGGCATGAATAAACTACCAATGCGTTGACAAAGATGCATCGATTGCATGAGTGATTACTTTGATTAATAGAAATAAAAAATGTTGAAAACAAATAAGTTAACTTATTTCATAAAAAACGGCAATTTCATAGATAATGACCTAATTCTCATTATATTTTTTTATATTTTTTTTGTCCTTCTGTCCGTGTATATGTGACTGAAGTCCTCCTAAATGGCTGGAACGATATTGATGCAATTTTGTGTGTATGATTAAGTCATTTCCAGAATGGCTTAGATTCATAATTAGACCCGGTAGGTGGCGCTTTTGTCGAGATCCAGAAATCATCCGTGTGAAGCCGGGGATGATCGCTAGTATAATATAAAAATTTATGCACACAGGCCTTTTAAATTTTAGAAAAAATAAAAGAAGCAAGTATTTTGAAGAAAATTTTATCTAGAGCACCATTAGACGAGGAAATGGCCGCCAAGGTTTGTCAAATCGCCAGGAACGCATTCAAAGACTACTGGTACAAAAAGAAACTAATGGAACAGGTGATTGGAATGGTTTTATTATTAAGTGTAAGGTAAGGGGAGAGTAGAGCCGTGGTAGCTTAGGGGATGAGCGCTCGCTGTAAATTTCACAGTACGCGAGCAACCCGGGTTCGATCCCCGCCGGCACCAATGGGAAAACATCGTGAGGAAACCTGCATGAATAAGAAATAAGAAAAATATATATTTCGAAGACACGTGAAGTTCGCCAACACGCATTAGAGCAGCGCGTCGGACATTTCCTTGCCCTAAAACCCTCTCAGAAATGAGTGGAGGCCTGAGCCCAGCAGTGGAACGCATATAGGTTGTCACTTTAACTTTTTAACTTTAAGAGGAGAGTGGGTAGGTTCAGTCGCAAAATAGTAGTGCTGGCACTGCTGTGTTGCGGTGAGAAGGGTATAGCGAGGGAGTACATTGAGGGCTAATCATTTTCTGCCGACTTCCAAAAAGGAGCCGGTACTCAATTCGACTGTATGTTTTTTTTTTTTTTTTCGTTTTTTTTTTTTTTTTATGTGTGTTACCTCAGAACTTTTTTCTGGGTGAACCGATTTCGATGATTCTTTTTTTATTTGAAAGCTGGTACTTCTCGTGTGGTCCCATATGAATTTGATCAAGGTCAGACCAATAGTTTTTAAGTTATTCTTAAATAACTTATATTGAAGTCGGCTGTACAAAATTTTTAATTTTAAATTATCTGCTCACCAGATGTCGCCAGTTAACACTGAGGTAAAGTTTTTTTACACAATTTCATTTACTTGAGAAGTTAGTTTTTAATAAAAGTTTATCGGTTTCAAAAGTATTATACACAAAACAATGCCTCAGTGGTTTGCTCTTTAATTTTTTGCACATTTTTTACTTTTTTTTTAATTTTTCTACTTTTATGAATATATGTGGTTTGGTTTGTTTATTTTTAATCTCATTAATAACGTATAGCTAATAGAACAGAAAGAAACATTAACCTTTACATTTTCCGAACAAATTAACTTCCCCGCTATGATATCTGTCAAATATTATACCTCACTTTTAAGTGGCGCCGCCCTGGTGGCAGAAAAAGTGGAAGTCCTCAGTGCTGTGACGCATTCCATAAGCTTAAGAGATGACAAGGCACATGTAGCCGTCTTTGTTTGAGGTGGGGAGCAGGTCTCCATGGACTAATGAGACCAATAAGTCTCTGAGGTAAGTGGTTGCTGTGACCCATAGACATCTACATTTATGATCAATAAAGAATTAAAATGCAGATGCGTCGTCACCCGTGAGGACTAAGATGGAATGTCTCTTTTCCAGTAAAATGGGTCTCCGGTTCTGCCCACTCACCATACGAAACACAGCAGTGTCAAGTTGCCATTTTCCGCTGGTATTCTGTGAGAGCGTGGTCCTTCTCCGGTCGAGCCGACCCATTCGTGCTACAACTATATTACTAATATAGCTGCAGCATGGCTCTGCCAGGTGTAAAACGAACCGTTTACTGGAATCGAAGCATTCTTCATCTTCATCTTAGTGCATTTTGATTCTTAATCGAAGATAACTGTAGATGTCTATGAGCCACAGCATCCATTTACGATCAGGTGAATGATACTCGTTTATCACCCTTATTCTATAAAAAAATAGAAGAGGGTCAAATCCGTGTAACGTATGAAGAAGAAGATTTGTGAAAGCTGCGTATACCCACTATAGGAATAAATCGCCTTATTGATCCAGAGGTCGTAAGCGTCACTACCGATCAAGAGGTCCAGGGTTTAATTCACGGGTCGGGCCAAAATCTGTAATTGGGTTTTTCTATCAGTAATTCCAGTAGCCGCCACGAGTCAAGAAAATGGCGGTGTTTTACCCCCGTATCTCGTAAAGCCCGTAAAGCAGTTGGTTCTTGATCTATCTTTGGTCGTGTTGGATTTCTGTCCCATCGGACTATGAGAGGGAAGAAATAGAGAGTGCGCCTGTGTTTGCGCACACACCCATGCACTATAATCTTGCCCTGTGCAGATGGCTAGTCTCCGTTGAGACCGCCGCAGTGATCCCGTCTGCCTGGAGAACATACAAATAAATATGGAATATTTTTACATTTATTACATGTGTGTCAATTTTTTGTATGTGCTTTAAATAATTATATAAAAGTTTTCCTTTGTACAGAGTGTGACAATGCGCGCCGAAGAGCCCTGGGAAGTGGCAGCCGAACGTACTTTGGCGTTGTACAAAAAGACCAAGCCGTCACTTGACGAACTCCACAGAGCTACAGAGAGAATTCAAGTAATTTCGCCTTTAATCATCATCATCATCATCATTACAGCCCTTCACAAGTCCACTGCTGAACATAGGCCTCCCCCAAAGAATGCCACAAAGCACGGTCCTGAGCCACCTGCATCCATCGACTTCCTGCATGTCTTACCAGGTCGTCACTCCATCTCGTGGGGGGACGCCCTACACTTCGCCTACCGGTACGAGGCTGCCACTCGAGAACCTTTCTTCCCCATCGGTTGTCGGTTCTTCGAGCTATATGGCCGGCCCACTGCCACTTCAGCTTACTAATTCGTTGGGCTATGTCGGTTATTCTGGTTCTACTGCGGATATCCTCATTCCTAAGTTTATCACGCAGAGAAACTCCGAGCATAGCCCTCTCCATAGCTCGCTGAGCGACCTTGAGCTTCCTCATACGGCCAGCAGTGAAGGACCACGTCTCAGTTCCGTAAGTCATCACTGGCAACACGCACTGGTTGTACAATTTCGTTTTAAGGTTTTGAGGTATGTCTGACGAGAAGATGTGCCGTAATTTCCCGAACGCTGCCCAACCGAGTTGAATCCGTCGATTGACCTCTCGGTCGAAGTTGGACTTACCTAGTCGGACTATTTGTCCCAGGTAAACATACTCGTCAACAACTTCGAGCTTAGTGCTCCCAACAACTACCGGCATAGGTGTGACATGGACATTAAACATAATCTTTGTTTTGTCCATGTTCATCTTAAGACCTATCCGTTGGGAAACACTATTGAGGTCATTGAGCATAGTGCTTAGGTCCTCCAGCGATTCTGCCATAAGGACTATATCGTCGGCAAATCGAAGGTGTGTGATGTACTCGCCATTGATGTTAATACCGTACCCTTTCCAGTCCAGAAGCTTGAAAACGTCTTCCAATGCAGCGGTGAAGAGTTTCGGGGATATGACGTCACCCTGTCTTACACCTCTCTGCAATTGGATAGGTTTCGTACTCTGGTTCTGTACTCGGATAGCCATCGTAGCCCTACTGTACAAGCACTTCAACACTTCGATATACCGACAGTCAACTTGGCACCGCTGAAGGGACTGCAGCACCGCCCAAATTTCGACGGAATCAAAGGCTTTCTCATAGTCCACATACGCCAGACATAGTGGCAAATTGTACTCTTCGGACTTCTGTACAACTTGCCGAAAGGTATGTATGTGGTCTATGGTGCTAAAGCCCTTTCGGAAACCGGCTTGTTCGGGAGGCTGGAAGTCGTCAAGTCTGCGCGCGAGACGATTCGTAATGACTCTCGAAAACAGCACGTAGACGCGGCTCAGAAGGGAAATCGGTCTGTAGTTCTTCAAGAGAGCGTTGTCACCTTTCTTGAAGAACAAGACCACTGCACTTCTGCTCCACGCCTCCGGTGTAATGCCACCATGGAGGACGGAACTAAAGAGCTTCTGAAGGACTTCAAGTACCGGTCTTCCACCCGCTTTCAGAAGCTCCGCTGTAATTCCATCCTCGCCTGGGGCCTCACCGTTTTTAAGGTGCTGGAGAGCCATTCTAATCTCGCTCAGACTGACGTCCGGGATATCTTCGGAATAGTGTCGGATGAGACTCGCTCTTGGATCGTTACTCACACTTGCGTGTGGCTCCAACGATGACGTGTACAGCTGCCCATAGAACCTCTCAATCTCACTCAAAATCTCAAGTGTCCCGGAAACGATGCTGCCACACTCTGTCTTCAGCTTTGACAGTTGGCTCTTTCTGGCAGACAGATCTCTGGCAAAGACTTTGGAGCCTTGGTTCCGCTCGATCGCTTCTTCAATACGAGCTGTATTGAAGTTGCGTAAGTCCCGCCGCATGCATTTGGAGATCTGTCTGTTCAGATGCCTGTATGCTGTCAAGTCTGTTGAAGAATGTAGCTTCATCTCCCGTCTAACAGCCATGAGATTAAGAGTGTGATCGGAGAGTTTTTGTGTTCTTCTGCGGCGGGTCTTGCAGAACTTAGCTCCGACCGCATGGACAGTTTCCACGAGCTTGTCATTCATATCGTCCACTTCATTGCAGTCTTCTAGGCACTGAAAACGGTTTTGTAACTCGAGCTGAAAGGTTTCGGGACTTTGGATTAGAGCACGAGGGGGACGGAGCGTTGACTTCATTAGACGAGACCTCTCCAACTTAACGTTTAGGTTCAGTGTGCCTCTAACCATTCGGTGATCGCTACCAGTTTTCACCCTTGCGATCACAGAGACATCACTGAACAGTTGTCGTCTGGTCGTCATAATGAAGTCAATCTCATTTTTTGTCGAACCGTCGGGGCTCGACCAGCCTTTAATATTAATGTTAAATGTAACAAACATTAGGGCATTCATACCATTTACCAAACTGTCTCAAAAGAATGGTAATGTTTGCAGATGACATTTGTCACATCCTACGTAAAACCTGTATCCCTCATATAGACATTTGCTTGTTAATGACCTTTACTCATATAAGAAAATTCTTTTAATACTAAGCAAGTCCAGTCCAGTCCACTTGAACTCCAGAAGACGACATAGGTTTGCGCGTTTTCTGCTTAAAATAAACCCTTTGTCGTATCTCCTCCATTTCAGGGCACAAAACCCTTACTGCCTCAGCCAGCATCGGAATTCTCGGCATTGCCATATAAAACGACGTACATTTTTATGCAAAATTAGCTTATAAAAGGCTTGGAGTGCTCAGTAGACTGGGATGGTATTTCATGCTGGCATGCCGCTTACAACTTTACAAGGTGCAGGCTCTGGAATACTTAAAGGATAAAGTCACACTATTCTGTAAAAAAGGAGCTTTTTTATTAATAGTGTGACAAACGAGCACACAGTCTACCCGATGGTAAGTGGATGCTGTGGTCCATAGACATCTTTTTTTTTATAGGATCGGGTGACAAACGAGCACACAGTCCACCTGATGGTAAGTGGTTACTGTGACCCATAGACATCTACATCTATCCTCAATAAAGACTCAAGATGCAGATGCGTTGTCACTCGTGAGGACTAAGATGGAATGCCTCTTTGCCAGTAAAAAGGGTCTCCGGTTCTCTACACTCACCATACGAAACACAGCAGCGTTAAGCTGCTATTTTACGCTGGTTTTCTGTGAGAGCGTGGTCCTTCCCCGGTCGAGCCGACCCATTCGTGCTACAACCATAATATAGCTGCAGCATGGCTCTACCACGTAGAAGACATCTACATTTATCCTCAATTAAGAATCAAAATACAGATGCGTTGTGCCGACCTCTTCGTGCTACAACCATAGCTGCAGCGTGGCCATACCACGTAAGTGGCTGGCTTCCACTTGACGCATTCAGTAGAAGAGTGGTTCGAATTTCGAATCATCGACTACCGTGTTCTGTCTGATCAAGTGCTGCGAAGAGATGTTGCATTATTAATGCCGTTAATTTTTTTTTGTAATCGAGTCATTCGCTTTCTCTGTGCTTTAAAACAACGATCTTCTGAGCTTCCATATCTTTGTTACTTTCTCAGGCCGCCTATAGAGGATATTACGTGCGTAGAAATCTCTTGAAGCACTTAAAACCAAAGAAGAGAGGACCGAAGAAAACCCTGGGAGCTCCATTAGATATTGCTGGGTCCAGAGAAATTGATCTAGGTCCTGTTACTGTAAGTTTAATAACAGATGATACTTTAATACATCTGGCTACTTTAGAGTAATTATTTCTTATAATTTACGCAAGTCGATCGTTACCGTGTAGTGGCGGTGTAAGAATATCCTCTACCCCATATCATCCCGTGGGTGTCGTAAGAGGCGACAGAGGGAAATTGAAACAGGAGATGGCAGCAGCATCTTCCTGATAACAAATCAAAATAATAAAAAAACTGAGTTGCCAACCCGCCTTCTAACCGTGGCAACTATGGCAAAATCTCCCTATGAGGCAATCTATGGTGGAGGCCTATGTTCAGCAGTGGACTTTTAGGCCGCGTTCCGACGACACGCACCCGCTACGCGCACTCCACGCGCGGCAGCACTCGCCTCTAACTCGCTTTGAATTTTGTTGCATATGAGTCTTATGACAAATCAATAAATCTGAAATTGCATTTATCGACGTTCAACCGCACACGCCACGCGCCCTCTTCGTTCCCGCTCCGCGACGGCCCCGCGCTCGCCCCGCACACGCGCTGCACCCGCCCTCAATTTCAGATCGTCGTCGGAACGTGGCCTAATAGGCAGTAATGGTAATGGACGCGTGCCGATGGATGCGGGTGACTTAGGACCGTGCTTAGTGACATCACTTGGGGAGGCCTATGTTCAGCAGTGGACTGATGAAGTGCTGTAACTGTGATGATATTTACGCGAATACTGTACTCGTATCTACTTTAATAACGTTCCTCATCATCATCATTACAGTCCTTCACAAGTCCAGAAGTGAACATAGACCTCCCCCAAGGAATGTCACAAAGTACGGTCTTGAGCCACCTGCATCCATCGACTTCCTGCATGTCTTACCAGGTCTTCACTCCATCTAGTGTTGGTTTAACAACGTTACTGTACGTTAATATAATCAATAAACGGATCGTATTTCTTACGGTTCACTTTATTATAAAGTAAAGTCACAGGCTACATATACGTCCCGGTGCTAGGCACAGGTCTCCTCTCATTTCTGAGAGGGTTTTAGATCAAAGAAATGTCCGCCGCGCTGTCCCAATGCGTGTTAGCGAAAGTTTACTCACGATGTTTTCCTTCACCGCCGAGCACGTGGTAAATCAGCACTTAAAATTGCAATTAACAATTTCATTGGTGCCGGCGGGGATCGAACCCGGGTTACTCGCGTACTGTGATATTTACAGCTTATATATTTTAATATAATTCAAGGATATTCAAGTCAGAGAAGATGACGTTAATGGATTGTTCGCGGCGCATGCTTTCAAACTTGGACCGCATTATGACTCTATAAAGACCACAGCTATCGATAATGAGAGATATAAGAACCCCTTAGAAAAATCTCCAACTTATAAGATGATGGATCAAAAGACTGGCGACCAAGCCAATCGGCCAGTTATTACAACTAATCCTGAAGTTGGGATCGTCCAAATGGAGTCAAGAAGAGGTGAGTATTGGACATAGTTAAGAACTGGCATACAACAAAGGAAAGGAAAGGAAGGAACAAAAAGCAGCAAGCAACCGAGGGAAACAAAACACTAAAGCAGGAATGTCTTCCTAAAGTGGGTTCCGCGGAACCAAAGAATTCCTTGATAAAGTCACCGGGGTTCCGCGAAATTATTTATTTTTACCTTTTAAAAAATTTCACAGTTAGGTACAAATATTATTTTGAAAATAGCGCAAAATATGTGATGAGAAGAACCCGACAACGTGAATGTGTTATGAAGGTACGTAGGTAGTTAGCAAGAATTCGATACTAAACCGCGGGCTGTGGCGGGTTACATCTCCCACCCCCGGTTGCGAGTTTTGAGTTGTTGTTATTTGTTAGGACATTGAAACATGTTTTTCAGCTTACACTTATACAGAAAACAAATATCAGGTCTAGATTGGACGCTATCCCAGATATGCGCATACAACTATCGAACACATACCGAATTATAAAGCAATTAGGTATTAATAAAACAGACAAAACAGTATTTTTTCATAGTTTCACTTTTAAAATATTTCTAATTAAATTTTTTGTTCTAATTTAAATTACATTGTCCATAAAATAAAATGGATGTTATGAGTGTTCCGTTAGGGTAGGGCGGGGCTAGTGAGGCAAATTTTCACTTGAGCGGTCATGCCTTCACAACGATAAGTCTTAATGGCTTGTAATGAATACCGATGGGTAAGTAATTTATCCCTTTCCAAAAGTGTCCATAGTAAATTACTTTTAACAAATCGCATTTAAGAGCTGCAGCCATTTAACTGAAGAAAATCAAAGGTGCTCAGCGTGATACGATAGGTGAGGTAAGTTGAGCATGGGTATGGTGTAAATTGAGTAGTTAGAAATTGTAGCCAAGTCATGGGTTCATTGTTTACTAGACATGAAATATAATTTCTGTTTTATAATAAACTTTTTATTTATAGTATTTTAGTGACATAACAGTAAAACTAAAAGTAAATTCTACAAGGTGTTGTGCTTGCACTTTTGTTCTAGTTTGAAGGGCTTAGAGTGCCAGTATAAAGCCAATGTAATGGATTCCATTTTAGTTTCAGTTTTAAAAGGTGATAACGCACCTGTAGCCATATTTGGATGGAGTTGGCCGCAGGTGTCATTGAATTGCAGTAGACACTTACTTAATTTTTATTTATATTTATTTATATAAATAATTTAAAATTAAAAATTTTGTACAACCGACTTCATTATGAATTAGTAAGAATAACTCAAAAACTATCGGACCTTGATCAAATTTATATGGGATCACATGAAAAGCACCAACTTTCAAATACGAAAAGGATCATCGAAATCGGTTCACACAGTACACAATGTGTGTAAAAAAGTTATATCTCATAACTTTTTACAAAAGTTGTGATACCTCGCAACTTTTTTACACACATTAAAAACACATTAAAGCTGAACGCACATTTGTCCGCGCCGTACGCGCCGCACACGCCGTACGCGCCGAATTTTACTAATGGCCTCGCACATTTGCACGTACGCATCGTCCGCGCCATCCGCAAATCTTTTGCATTGCCAACAACTCTTGCAGTTTTTTCCAACCACGGGTGTGAAACGGTACATTAGATAGATTATATTGAAGAGATTTATCGCTCGCTATCACTATTGAAAAAATATTGTAATAGGCCTGCTTATTGGCAGAAGGAGAAAACAAAATTCGATGAAAAAGAAAATTCTAGATTCATAGTATTAATTTAAAACGGCAATTGTATGGAGAGTATTATACTTTATTTAAAGACTTGTTATATGATGATGAACGATTTTTTAGATATTTGCATTTAACATACAAGAAGTTTTAAGAATTGTTACATATATTAAAACCATATCTTTCGATGGAAAACTCAAGATTTAGAAGGCCAATCGAACCAGTGGAAAGACTTGTTATATGTTTGAGGTAAGTATTTTTATTGATAATTAAGTTATCAGATATAATTGGGTTTTTGAATTAAAATTCACTATCAATGTTTTTGATGTATTTACATAATTTAATACTAAGTATTCATTTCACAACGTTTATCGGAATTTCAATTTCGTTGCAGCATTTTTCTGCCAACCTCTAACCATAGTGTACATTTAACACATAAAAAATTTAATTCGAAACCACCAGTTTTAGTGGAAAATCCACTAAGTTAGCAACATTAGACAACACTGAGTATCAACACGCGCCAAACGCGCTGCGCTATATGACGTCATCAGCATTCGTCTTTCGATATCGTATACCTACCGCATTTTATAAAATTCGGCGTGTACGGTGTGGGTGTAATGTGCGAGGTTTCATATGATTTCATACAACGAATTCTAAAATGCGGCGCGTACGGCGCGTACGGCGCATACGGCGCGTACGGCGCGGACAAATGTGCATTCAGCTTAAACACACACATTTGACACATATTAAAATAAACAGTCGAATTGAGTACCTCCTCCTTTTTGAAGTCGGTAGAAAAATACTGTAATTGATGCTACAAAATAGTACATATATTTAAATTACACGAATTTTAAAATACAATTAGGGTAATCCAAGATATAATTGGCCACTACCAATAACTAGCCACTTGGTATTTTATCTGTTTGAAATAAGAATAATGTTTTATTTGCGCCATTTTGAACGTATGAAAACTAATGCCTTGTCATTCACCTTTCATAGTAGTTCAACTTTTTTCGCTACGAATCCACAAAGAAAACGGCCATTTACTGACAGTCTGTGATTAAAAAGGTTATATATATATATTTTTTTTTTAACAGTGGTAGAGCCACGCGGCAGCTTTTGCTGTTGCACGGGGCCGGCTCGAACCGGGGTAGTACCACGACCTCACAGAAAACCAGCGTGAAGTAGAGGTTTACCTCTGCGTTTCGCTTGGTGAGTGCAGGTGGTTGGAGGCCCTTTTTACTGGAAATGAGGCATTCCATCTTAGTCCTCACGGTTGACAACGCATATACATTTTAATTTGTAACAAAGGATAGATGTAGATGTCTATGGGCCGCAGCAACCACTTACCATCAGGTGGACTGTGTGCTCGTTTGTCACCCTCATCCTATAATATATATATATATATATATATATATATTGTGTATAGTATAGTCTGCTTATCGACAGACGGCATTGTTTGATTTATGTTCGCACTATTAAATGTATTACTACCGTTGTACTTAGCTGCTTATGTATGTCAATTGAGTTTAAAATTCGAGTGAATATACGAGTTGTGTTTACGTGAGCGTGTATCATTTCTAACATTGGTGCCGAAACCCGGGAAAAGAGAAGAAGAACCAAAGTGAACTGTGAAGTGCTAATAAGTGGTGAGAATAGTGCAAAGTAAACGAAATTGGACTTTAAAACCGTGAGTAAATAAACTTGTTAGATATCAGTGAATTAGAAGACAATCTTAGGAAAATACTTGGACTTGTAAAAATTTCGTGAGTACGTTCTGTGGACTTAGAAAAAACTAGTGTTATTTTAGACTTGTAAAAATTTCGTGATTTTATTCTATACACTTAGAAAATTCTCATAGCCAGTGTGGACTTGTGAAAATTTTGTGATTTGTTACTATAGACTCAGAAAGTTTTACATATTATGGACTTGTATAATTATAAATGTGTTATATGAACTTGTATTAAATTTTAAATGTCACATTTATTTTGAACCGTTTATTGAGTTGAACTTCAGGATTGTTATAAATTACTAATTCGAAAGACTTTTAAAGGAAATTTACTCTAAATTTAATAAAATAAAATGGAGAGATTAATCAAAGGGCAACAAGAATTGTTTGAACAATTAAGAAAAGCCGAGCGCAATCTTAAGAAGGCGAACCATGAGCTTCGGTCAAAATCTAGTTATCTGATAGCAAGAATTGAAGCGTTAAACAAGTTGGAAGAACCTTTCAACCAGAATCATCTTAAAATAGTTGCCATAGCAACGGAGGAGCAAATGGAAACGTTACAATATTTTCAAGATGACTTACAGGATAGCTTTCAAGAATCTTTTATACAATACAAAGCTTTGTTAAAGGAATATCTAGATTATACCGATCAAAACACGACTATACATGCGATAGACGCAAATGAGAATGCATCAAACAAAAATCAAGGAAACTCTGAGGTGCAATTACCTAGAATTCAACTTCCTATTTTCTCAGGAAAATACACCGAGTGGCAATCTTTTTATGATATGTTTGTCTCATTAATACATGAAAATTATACACTATCAGCTGTTCAGAAATTGCATTACTTAAAATCGAGTTTGTCTGGAGAACCTGAAGTGCTTCTGAGGAATTTTGCTACTACATCAGCTAATTACAAAGAAGCATGGGAGCAATTAACTAAACGTTATAATAACAAAAGGTATAACTGCAATGCTATAATGAAGACATTATTTGGACAAAAGAATATACAACACGAATCTGCGAATTCCATTAGACATTTGTTAGACACAACAACTTCTTGCCTAAAGGCTCTTAATAATCTCAATATTGGTACAGAACAATGGGATGTAGTTATAATTCATTTGGTAGTGTCGAAGTTGGATCATGAGTCGCACCGACAGTGGGAAAATTATATAAGTACCGTATCAGATGAATTACCTAAATAGTTTCAGTTAGAACAATTTTTAGAAACGAGATTTAGAATTTTGGAGATGATCGATACAAGTAAGCAAACTACAAGCAATAAGATAACCATACAATCAAAAGTTTTAAATCAAGCGGTAAAAGCTAAGGCATTTCATTCAGCTTTGAATGTAAAACAGAGTTCATCTGAACAGAATTGCGCGATGTGTAATGGTTCATATTTTATTTATTACTGTACTCAATTTAAAAAGCAACCAGTTATTGAGAGACAAAATATTGCACAAACTAAAAGGCTTTGTTTCAACTGTCTAGCACCTACGCATCCTGTATACAAATGTCATCAAAATACTTCTTGCCGCAAGTGTGGTAAAAAACATCACACTTTGCTTCATTTTGAGAAAGGGGATAAAGAAGCTTTTAACATATTAAAACAAAATGATTCATCTAAAGGAGAACCTCAACAATGTAATAGTGAAGAAACTTCTACAATGAACGAGAGGAACGTAGTAGCTAAATTTTCGAGACAAGATTTAAAAAATTATAATGTATTGTTAGAGACTGCTGTTGTAAAATCTAATTCTAGAAATGGTTCTTATATGATTAGAGCGTTGCTTGATCAAGGCTCGCAAGCTTCTTTTGTTAGTGAAGATACTGTACAATTGTTAGGTCTTAAGCGTACAAATGTAAATGGTAAGGTGTCAGGTTTGGGAGATGGTCAAATGGTGATTAAACATGCGGTTAGTTTTGGAGTTGAGTCGCGTTACGTACCTGGGAAATTTATATGCGTCAATGCGTATGTATTAAAATCACTTACTTCATTATTACCAGGTCATGAAGTACGTATACCTGATTGGTTAGAATTAAAAACATTACCTCTTGCCGATCCTGGATTTGCATCACCAGGAAAGGTTGACGTATTACTTGGTGCTGACGTATATGGAGAAATATTGCTAAGTGGAATTAAGAAGAGTCCATATGGAAATCTAATAGCACAAAACACGTTGTTTGGGTGGATTTTGTCAGGTAAAGTAACACCCGAGTTGAATAGCGAGAACATTATTACTTTACTTACATGTTCAAATAAGAGAGGATGAGATACTGAAAAAATTTTGGGAAATGGAGAACGAGCCTAATAGTATCGAGAAAAAATTAACAGCAGAGGAAACATTTTGTGAAAAGTTATACAAAGAAACTACTTTAAGGCGTGAAGACGGTAAATTTATAGTAAGATTACCTTTTAAAACAGTTGACCCGCAGTGTCAACATGGTCAATCATTTGATATTGCTGTTAACAAATTATATTCATTAGAGCAAAGATTGTGTAAAACCCTACACTTTATAACGAGTATATTAACGTTTTACAGGAATATGTAACGTTGGGCCACATGAAGGTAGTTAATCGTGATGATGTTAACAATTCTAAAGCCGTGTATCTTCCTCACCATGCAGTTGTGAGAGAAGATAAAGAGACAACGAAGGTTAGAGTCGTCTTCAATGCTTCTAGTAAGGGTGTAAATAACGTGTCTCTTAATGATGATTTACTTGTTGGTCCTAAACTCCAACAAGACTTACGACACTTATTACTACGATGGCGAAAAGATCCGATTGGTATTGTTGCCGACCTAGTGAAAATGTATCGGCAGGTATATGTGCACGAAGACGACACTAACTTTCAGAGGATATTATGGAGAACTAAACCTGAGTTACCAGTTCAGCATTATAAACTACTAACATTAACCTTTGGCACTGCATGTGCACCTTATCTTGCAGTAAAAACCTTACAAACATTAGCGGAATTAGAAAAAGACAAATATCCGTTGGCAGCTCAGATAACACAAAGAGATTACTATGTTGACGATTTAATGACAGGTTGCGAAACTGAGAAAGAAGCACTAAACATTTACGAAGAAATGTGTAAGCTGATGGGAGCTGGTGGATTTGAACTGCAAAAGTGGAGTAGCAATAGCCAATTATTTCTAAATCACATTAAGAAAAATAATTTGAACACCGAAAATTCCGTAACGATTAAGGTTGATAATATAATGAAAGTGTTAGGTATTTGCTGGAACATATGCACAGATAATTTTGAGTACGTAATAAATTTAACTGACCCAGAAGAATATGTACTCGTAACAAAACGGAAAGTTTTATCGGATGTTGCCAGGCTCTATGATCGTATAGGATGGATTGCCCCAGTAATAATTACTGCTAAGATTTTCATCCAGAAATTATGGAAAGCATGCCTTGACTGGGATGAGAAATTGCCTGAAAACCTTTTGTCTGAGTGGTTAACCTTTAGATACGAGTTAGCAAACATCAAAAATATTTCTATACCACGGTGGCTTGGTTCAAAAAAGGGGTCTAAATTAGAACTTCACGCATTTTTAGATGCATCAAGTGTAGCCTATGCAGCTGCAATTTATCTCAGAGTGGTGGACGACAATAATAAAGTACACGTGAAGCTTATTACTGCCAAGACTAAGGTTGCACCAATAGAAAAGGAGGTGATCATACCCCGCTTGGAACTTTGCGGAGCAACTCTAGCTGCCAAATTATTAAACGAGGTTTCGCAAGTAATGGACATACCTAAAGTAGAATTATATGCGTGGACAGACTCAACTGTAGTATTGGCTTGGCTACGTGGACCTATTAGTCGATGGACTACTTATGTAAGTAACAGGGTGTCCCACATTCTCACAATTATGGATGTTGAACAGTGGGGACATGTATCAACTAACTTTAATCCCGCTGACTGTGCGTCAAGGGGACTAAAACCGACAGAATTAAAGAGTCACGAATTGTGGTGGTACGGTCCTGGCTGGCTATCAAAACAAATCGTTCGTATTGAAAGACCTGAGTTTTCGGACATTCATGAAGAAGAACGAATAAAATCGTTTGTTGTTGAAGAAAGGCGATGTAATGATTATGAGTGGATTAAATTTTCAAACTTAACTAAGCTATTGAAAGTTATTTCGTTATGTCGCAGATTTCTGAAAATAAAGTTGCCGCCATATGAAAGGAAAGCATTTCCAAAATTTGCTACAACTGACGAGATGAATCAAACACTGCAACTTTGCATTAAACAAGTTCAAGAATGTGATTTCGCGGAAGAAATAAATTCTTTGACATTAAAAGGTTGTGTAGCAAATCGTAGCGTGTTATGCACTCTTTATCCCTTTTTAGACAAAAATGGGATCTTAAGATGTGGAGGTGGGCGCCTAAGTCAAGCTAATGTAAGTTATGATCAAAAGAATCCAATAATTTTGCCTGCTGAGAATCATCTTAGCCTCTTAATAGTTGCTGATGCTCATACAAAGACTCTTCATGATGCTCCACAACTGATGATGAGTTTTTTGAGATCCAAATATTGGATATTGAGAGCACGTAATATGGTTAAAAAGTATTACAGAAGTTGTGTCGTATGTTTAAGGTACTCTAAAGCAGCGGCTACACAATTAATGAGTCAATTGCCGGAGGTTAGGTTAAAACCGAGCAGACCTTTCAAAAGTTCAGGAGTGGATTATGCAGGTCCAATTAATATCCGATTCTCTCCACGCCGTGGATCAAAATCCTACAAGGGATACATTTGTTTGTTCGTTTGTATGGTAACTCGCGCGATCCATTTAGAAGCGGTATCTGATTTAACAGCCAAAGGCTTTATTGCTGCATTTAGAAGGTTTGTTGCACGTAGAGGTCATTGCCAAAATCTTTTTAGTGATAACGGCACGAACTTTGTGGGAGCTAACAAAATGTTGTGTAAAATGTTTTCATAGAGAGTCATAAAGTCATAAAGATTCAAATCCCACTGTTACGGTGGGCGGCTTGTTTCTTTAGTTGTTAAGTATTTGTTAGGAGTATGTGGATTTTTTTTGAAGGACAAGTCCTTGGTGGGCGGAATGAGTAAAAAGGTTATATATATATTGTGTATAGTATAGTCTGCTTATCGACAGATGGCATTGTTTGATTTATGTTCGCGCTATTAAATGTATTACTACCGTTGTACTTAGTTAGCTGCTTATGTATGTCAATTGAGTTTAAAATTCGAGTGAATATACGAGTTGTGTTTACGTGAGCGTGTATCATTTCTAACAGTCTGTGATCGGTGTACGTGTCTCGACGTGTAAGTTACTTCACTACGTATATGTTAATGGCTAAGTATTTACAAATTTTAAATTATTAATGATAATACTTGGCGTTGGTGAAAGAATCACATATTTCTACATCTTTGCTTGGTGAGTTATGTGAATCTTTATTTTAATTCAAGGAAAATCTTAAATAAGCCGTTATTGAAAGGGTGGCTAGTTTCTGAAGTAATTTTTTGCATGTTTTTAGTTATTGGCCACGTATACCAGTTACTAAAGTTGACCTGTTATTCAAATTTATTTAAAAATAACTCGTATTTATGATGTTTATAAAGTATTGTGTATTTTCTTTTTAACAGGATTAGTCGACTCTGATCAGTAACTGGCATGGTGGCCAGTTCGTGGCCAGTTACTAATCTATTTTCTTATTTTTTTATAGTTCATTGAAGTGTTCCTAAAATGTCTAAAAAACGACAATACGGCAAAGAAACAATAGATAAGGCTATAAAATATATTGAGAATGAAGAGGGTTCAATTTGACAGGCGGCAAAACAATTTGGTGTACCCAGAAGTAGCCTGCAATTTAAAATTAAAAATCTTGACACAAAGTTTAAGTCTGGACCAGATCCAGTGCTTACTGAAGCTGAAGAATACAGTTTATGTGACTTCATTATACAACTATCAAAGCGTGGCTTCCCAAGAAAGAAAGAGGATATCCAATTATGTGTCCAAAATTTTTTGCAACAAAATCCGAGACCTAACCCTTTCCGAGACAACAAACCGGGAGATGTGTGGTTTAAGGCTTTCCTGAAAAGACACCCAAATATTTCTATTCGAACATCAGAAGGAGTTACAAATGCAAGTGCATGTGTTTCTGAACAAGATATTAGGAAACGGTTTCAGGAAATACAGCACTATATTGTCGAGGAAGAACTAAATGACGTCACTCAAGATCCCATAAGAGTGTTCAATGCCGATGAAACTGGATTTAATATTTGCCCGAAAACAGGCAAAGTAGTGGCTCAGAAAGGGTGCAAAAATGTGTACCAGATAGAAAAAGGATCCTCTAAAGAAAAAATTACAGTTTTATTTACGTTTTCTGCTGCTGGACACGTCTTTGAACCAATGAATATCTATCCTTATAAACGGATACCTGACCGAGTTTCGTTGTGTGTTCCATCTGGTTAAAGAAAGCGACACTGGTTGGATAACTGCAGCAGTTTTTTATGATTATATCTGTAACTGTCTACAACCACAAATTTTAGAAAGCAATATCCCACTTCCTGTAATTCTGTTTGTCGACGGACACAAAACCCCATATAACTATAGAAGTATCAGAACGATGCCGCCGTCTTCAAATACATCTAATAGCGCTTTATCCAATCGCAACTCGTATACTACAACCAGTCGCGGCTTTTCGCCCAATAAAGGTTGCTTAGAAGGTACTGCGCGATAGGTACGCTGCGAATAATTACCAGAAAAGTCTGACCAAAGAAACCTCGGCTCCACTGTTAAAAACAGTTGTAGACTCGTCTTCTAAGAAAGAGACATTAATAAATGGATCAGAGTGTCCGGTTTGTATCCATTTGAACCAAATAATGTCCATTTTAGCAAGTGCATTGCAAGAGTAAACCAACCCGATGATACACCCATGTCAGAAAAAAATGTTGAGCATGATGTGTGTTGACCTATTCAGAATTTTGTAACATTGTGGGTGAATCAATTCTTGAAAAATGTCGAACAGTCTCGTTCATTTTAGAGTCAGATGATAACTTTATTGCAATTTACAATTTATGGCAAAGATCCGCGGCTGCATCGAAAAACAATAATAATTATAGAGTTGATAATAACGTGGACCGTGAGCCTTTCGACCAACCGACCATAATCGTAGAAGACAATTATGTGACTGATATTATAGAAGATGACGAAACCCCTAGGACGATTCTTGATGAATTTACAGGTGAGCTAATAAATAAAATAGAAGAAAGAGAAGATCAAAAGATAGAAGTGTACAGTAAGCCGGCACTTCAGAATAATTTAATAGAACGTAGTCCCACTCCGCAGCCTAGGACGTCAAAACAAATCACATGTTCGAATGTTTCCATAATTTCTAATGTGTCTCTAACTGAATACTTGAAACAAAATTTACCATTATTACCTAAACGCCAAGGAAAGCGCCAAATAGAAAGACTGCCATTTGCTTTAACTTCGGACCAATACGTGGAAAAAATAAAAGCAAAACAGTTAGAAAAGGAAGAAGAAGAAGCTGCAAAAGAGGAAAGAAAGAGACTACGAGAAGAGATGAAGAAGGAAAAAGAAAACAGTATACCTCAGAAGAAAATCAAGAAAAAAGTGATGGAAACAAAGATATTTAAAGAAGATATACTTAAAGAAAAGACTGAAAATACATATGAAGTTAATGATCAATTAGTTTTCTGTAATTTTTGTTCTAATCTCATTACACGTAGGGTTATTGAATGCAACCAGTGTAAAGAACGGTTTCATTTAAATTGTGTTCCATCATATCACAGACTCCATGTGCCTGTGGAAGATGAGGATCAGTTTTTGTGCCACATTGCTATCGAGAGAGTAATACTGACTCATCTGACGGTGATTGTGATGCCATTTTAGCTCTGCTTGTGAAGAGGCACGAAAGCAAGGCTTCGGTTCAAACTTTATGCTATAAAACTACATTAATTTTAGATTTGTTGATTTGTTTTTCGTGCGAATTAAGAAAGTTCCTATGTCGTATTATTTTTGATCTCATATTACGGGTAATATTGTAGGATGAAACTGAGGCTTATATCATGTGCCCAATTAATAGAATGATGACGGCCAGTTTCTTAAATTAGTGGCTATTAACTACCAAAAGTGATAATTTTTTGATTTTATTAAAATTTAATACAAAATATTGTTTTATTTTACTTTTAAAACCCTGAATTATATGAAACAATGTGAATATTATTGTATGGCATTGCAATAAATTTAATATAATAACTTATTTTGACATAATTAAAGTCTGTCTTGGTGAAAGTGCTTAAGTGGCCAGTTACTGGTGGTTTTACCCTATTGCATCATATAGGCATCCGAATTAGTATAATGCTACCGATGCTCTTACAAACTTACACTCTCCAAAACTCTACTAAAACTAACAAGCAGTCGCCGAACATAAGTTTTGTCTATGAATATTCTTTAATATAAAATTAAAACATACAGAAACAAACAGATACTAAAATATTAAACTAACTATAAATTACACCAAGTTAAATTAAAGCGATATAATTTAAAATTAAGAAAAAAATTGTACAACAGACTTCCATATAAATTTGAACTGAGGTACATCCAAAAACTGACCGTGAGTGTGAAATCTCACGTTGAAATTTGAAGCCAGTGAGTGGTGAAATTGTTTTGGCTTATTACCTGATGACCATATTACCCTCACGTCCTATATATTCGAGACTAGCTGTTCCCGGCGACTTCGTCTGCGTGATACTTATTATGATTGGATTTCATGGGTTTTATTTTTTTTGAGAGGAACCCTAATTATTTTTCTAAAATAAAAGTAGCCTAAAATACTCCTTATAACATCAGCTATCTGCCAGTACAAGTGCCGTTAAAATAGGTCTAACAATTTAAAAAATTTGTCGGAACAAACCGACAGATAGACAAAATTTTTTTAAATTGTTTTTTTTGGTATAAATACCGTATATACTTTCATATACATTTAGTAAAAAGCTGTAATTTTGACATTACAAACAGACAATTAAATTTTATTTATTTGTATATATTTGCATATAATAAAAGTCTATTCTAATCTATTCTATCTAGTCTAATCTATTATATTTAGTTAAATTCAAGAAAGTCCTGAATTTTTGGGGATCCCGAAAGCTTAGAATGACAAAAATACGGAATAAGTTTGTATAAAATAATAAATTCAGCATCAATTAGTTTTCAGAAGTGATTCACATGATGTTGAAGCCAAGTGGCAAGGTATGATTGAGAGGGAGCAGCTGGACACATACAATGAAAAGCTCACTTCAAGATATAGTAATGCTGTTACAGAAAATCGTCAAATTGGCACTCCTGCGCGTAAAATATCCTTTTCAATGGGAAGTTGCTTTTCACATACACATAAAAACTCACGCCTGTCACCCAGAGATGTAGACAGAGACTAAGGGCGTACATTTGGCACGACCCTGACACACCTCTCTCGCCTCCTTCACATCCATATATCAACGCATACATGCTCGTCGGTTAAAGGTACTCTTAATTTGGCCCACTTTCAATATATCGCCAATTTGGTCGATAAACTTTCGCTTAGGGCGTCCCTTCCCGACTCTGCCGTTTACCTCTGCAACACAAATTTACTTTGTCACTCTTTCCTCATTCATTCTTTCTACATCACCAAACCACCGAAGGATTTCTTTCTTAATCCTAGTCACAACATCATCTTGTAAACCACACTTTTCTCTTATCATACGATTTCTCACCCTGTCTTTCTGATTCAGCCCTAACATACATTAAGATATGATGATATGATACATAACATGGTCATTAAGGATGACCGCATTTCTACAGTATTTATTCTACTCTCGTGCTTCTCACTCATCAACCCACTATAACGGGTTAGTTTTCCTTTCATTCGTTCTCTTAATTACATTATCCATCATCGCAGACTCTCAAGTCTAAAT